AATTTGAAGGATTTCCATCGATATTAGAAGGAAAAATTAAATAATAAATTCATAAAACGATTCATTATTAAACAGAAAATATTTTATAAAATGCCATTGGTTCGGTGAAAAAATTTTGAATTTTTATTTGTTGACAAATTTGCAGCAAGAAATATAAATATTATTATGCAATTAATGAATACAGAACTATTAAAATATAATAAAATAATGTTTTATTATTTTATTGAGTGTAGCAAGTTTTATTGTAGTGAGTAGCAAGTCTCATAACTTTAAATACTTCAGATATCAACTTAGTGAAAATAACAAATCAAATAAAAATTTATAAATTTGCAAGTACGTTGTAAGTATATTTTCGATACTTATGTTTAACAAGTTATTGTTTAAACGAAAATATAGGAAATATAGAATCAATTGCGAATACGTAAAGGCAGATGCAAGCTCTAAAAGTAAAAGATGTAAAAGATGTAAAAGATGCGCGGCGACATTAGTGCCTCTTTTTATCTAATTAAACCATGACTATAAATTTTTCCATTTAATTAGATATAAATCGATATGCCAATATTTTTGCATGATGAGTGAAAACATTTATTTGGCCTCCGTTTTCTAGCTGTTTGGTTACAAGTGGGCGGCGGTGTGCTGCTGCGCTTTGCGTTGCACAAGCGCAACCTGAAGCGCGGGCCTCCAAGCGTCAAAGTATTTGAAACCTTCTTTATTTGGTGATTAAACGTGTCAGGCCTTGATTTATAATCTCGTAAACGGTGGTCGAACAGCCGTGACTCTTAAGAGCGCGCTTGCGCTCGCACAACCCCATTTGAAAAAATAACGTTCACGCTTTCTTGCTCTCTCGTTCGCTTGTGTTTGCCCGAGTGCGAGAGACTATGAATTCAAAGCGGATGAGTCGGAGAAGCAGAATGCTATTTAACTGCTGAGTACACTTTCTTGTTTCTTATTCGGCACAAGATAATAACAAACGCGTTGTAATATATGAAATATTATTTAGAAACACATAAAGCTTCAATGAGAGAAATGGAGGTTAAGGAGAGGGCCAAAGAGAGAAAGAGCAAGAACAATGGAGAGGGGAGAGCGGCGGAGCTATTTACTAACAGTAATTGATAGCACATTGAATGTAGTAGCTTTTGCTTCTGCAAAATAATAGTTCTGATGTACCATTATGGTGGAATGGTAAAAAAAATATGGTGGAAAGGTAAAAATTTGTCCATGCTTCGTATTTTTCCTGCTTTTTGCAACTTCGCTCATCTCCAGTATTTTTTTCATTTTTTCTTAAAGCTTGAACATACGTCCCCATAAATTGCGTTGCGGTTGAAGGTTTTTACTTCTCATTTATTATTTCTTGCATTTCTTTTGCACAGTAAAATGCTTAGCTTAATTTTTCTTATTTGAATTATAAAGATGATTGATATCGACTACATCAAAAGACAGACACGTCGTTACATTCTCAAAAAGCTAACTAAATAAAATATTTTTATTAGCATTACACTTATTTATGCGGAGTGAGTGGGGGTAGAAAAAGAAATAATCTTAAATTGAAATTTACTTTAACGAATATTTCACACTTTGCAACAAAATTTAATTAATTATTGACAAATGTCACGTTCAATGAATATAATAATTTTATTTTTTTTTTTAATTTTACAATTTATATAATAATTTCATAAATAATATTGCATAATATTTATTAATTAGCATCTAATCAAATGATAATTCCAAACGTTTTAAACACAATTATGCATTATTATAAATTTGGACATAAATTTCGATTAATACTCACTTTTTTTTTAATAAGAAATATAAAAATTTTAAGCTTTCGTCTCGTAAAATAAAAATACTTCATATTTACTTGAGATTAGCAGAAACTGACTTACATGCATGCCATAAGCTTTCCAACATCTCAGACGTCTGAGAATGACCACTCTCTCGCAAATATCATAATCAAACAAACCTGTGTTTTCTTTTTCTTTCTCACTCTTTTGCTGAACGTGTACATACATACGCACGCCGATTCTTGCCCTTTTCATTATTCTCCCCTACCGTGGCTTGTGTACCAGACAAAGCCGGCGAACAAAAAGGCGTTAAGTCAGATCACGACCTTAAGGTTACGTCGCTCATGAATGGTTAATATGTAAATTGGCCAGACGCGGCATATGAGCTTATTTTTTCTCTTTTCCCATTTTTTCATCAACTCTCTTTCTCTCTCATCCCCCTACCATCCACTTCTCCTCAATTCAATGTGCCGCTCACTTTAATTATATAAAATTCTTCGAATTTACCTGTTTATCGCATAAACTAAATTACTCAATTTCTGTTTATTAAATAGTACGATTTATTTTAATTTTTATGATATATTTCTTATATATAATATTATACAAAAGTGTTTTCATTTAAATAAAGTGTTATGATCTATTTGATTATTTGATTAAATATTATAGTAATATAATATTATTACCAATAAATAAAGAAAGAGTAGTAATACAAAGTAAGTATCTATCAGAAAATATTCAGTTTCTCTTGGCTAAACTTTAATACTCTCATGAAGTCGAAAATTAAGTATTTTGTATTCATAGAGTAAAATTTTTATATGTTTTATTATACGTCATTCTTCCCTCTTGCGCTGTCGACTATATGAGAGCAAGAGCGGTGTACTTCATATATTAATACAGATGCAAGCTTGCGGGCGCTCATACGCGCGCCTGTACGTATATATATATATATATATATATATATTCAAATGCATATGCGTTTAGATATATAAGTATACAAAAGGGCGCTTCGTGATTTTGACCTCGTCGACAACAGAGCAGTTGAACTGGGCTACAAGTGGGATAATAATCGTATAAAGGGGTTACAATAGAGCTCTGACATACCACAGCCGGACGAATATAAGAGAAGCAAAAAAGATGGAAAAACAAAACGCACAATAAATATATTTTGACACAAGAGAACCCGTGCATCGTAGTTACTTGTATAGATCTCTCATTTTCCATCTCACTCTTTTTTATTCCCATAAGACGATATATATTCTCACTTATATATGCAGAATAGTCTCAACGTTCAGCTTCGAAGTACAATGTGTAACCAAATGTACAAAGTGGAGCCATTGTCGGAAGTTGAGCGGCGGTAATCCTTTTTCTGTCAGCCTGTATCTTTCCCCCTGCCTTTCGAGTTCTTATAGAAGTAGATATAAGCAATATTAGCATATACACAGACACTAAATAAATTTATTAGCATAGGAGGGTGACAATTTTATGTTTTCATTGGCGCACCCGTGTTTGCTTTCTTACTTTTTTGACATAAACCGCGTTTACAAATCAGACGAATAATGTGTAAATTAACCAATTTCAGCAAAGCAAAATAGAAAATTTTAATTAAAGTATTATTTAATGATAAAGTAATTGCACAATTATCTTTCACACGCCGTTTTAATTTATTTTGCTTAATACTTAACGCATTTTAATAATATATAAAAGTATGTAAGGTTGATGTATTTTAAAATAATTTTTCGTTTTTGCGTAACGAATCAAAATACTATAATATTAATATGAAATTTTGCCAAATAAGCCTATACTATTCGAAACTATAGTTACCACCTTCTAATTCGTTAGTCATTTAATTAATCAATTTATTCACATTTTCCAAAATGATTACAATGAAATACTCTTTTTTTTTTTTAATAAAATGATGTTTACAAATGCAATTTTCTTTTTGAAAGTAACATTGTAAATGAATAATGTCCCATACAGCCATGGACATTTTGTATTTTCGTTATGTCGATTAATATGTCTAAGTAATCGTTTGCCAAGATTAGTCGACTCTGTGACTTTCCTGAAAAGCAACAGGTGAAACCTGTTAGCGGAAAGGCCAATCACGGAAAAATAATGCACGCAAAATTAAGCATGCAAGTTCACATAAATGTGATATGAACTGAAAGTTGATATGGCATGAAATAAATTGGAAAAAACGATGAGGACCTGATTTTTATTTAAGATTAGTCTCGCAGCATCCAATGTAACATACGAGAGTGACACGTGCGTGCGCCAAATTGATGCCGCAGCTTCGAGCACGCGCACGTGTACGCGCACAGAGGCGGAGGAGTGAAGCGCCGCGCGACGTGCCGGAGATTTAAACGCGCGACAGCACATGTGTACGCGCGTGACCGCTCCTCGACAAATTGTTCTAGCCATATGTAATGTACGTTGTATTTATGGAATGCAACTAAAATGTAAATAGCGGCTTTTTGCAGTGACGGAATAGTATTAAAATTGTAAGAGCGAAAAATTCACCTTCCTTGCTCTGGTGTGTGTTTTAATGGATAACTTTGTAGCCGATATCGAGAGATAGCAATGCTCTCGCTTGGTTTACGTTAGTAAATATCACTCTAAAGTACTGACATGCTTGTTTTCTCTATTATGGGAGGAGGTGATCATTTATGATCTTTACGATATTCTATGCGATATAATACATTCACAACTATATATTAAAAGACAATCGGCAGCTTATGTGAGCTTCACGTGATTTGAATACAGATCAATTTCAATTGATCTTATATTTTTAATGTTCATTTTTATTAATCGATTTATTTTTACTTATAATGCTAATTCTTGTACGTGGACAATATATTAAAAGAAGAAAAAAAAGAACGAGTTAGAGAATTCGGAGAGCGCTCACAATTTTGATGTTTTGACATTGAACGGCATTCGTGTTTCCAAAATATAAAAAAAGTTGACACTTTTAATCTTATCGTATCGAATAGTTTTAAGCATAAAAACTCTTTCTTACGTTCTAATCGGATGAAAAAAAAGTCTATTCGTATTTAAATGAAAAGTGTTGATATTATTTTTTCAGGCTGCGCTAGGACTAATCAATTTTTTTAATAATAGTATTTTTCGCAGTAAAAAAAGTACTTATTCGAATGAGCGATAAAAGAGTAAGAAAATGGCCTGAAAAAACAATAACATTAATAAGTAAATTTATAGAGCACCCACCTTTATATTAGTTGATTTGATGATCGTAACGCCCGATACTCGTGGCTCTTGCTAAATTATAAGAGCTGAAATTATCTACTCGGGGGGAGAGGGCAGGGGGTTATGTAATCACAGCATTTACGCGCACTATTCTTTCATTTCTGTAGAAAGCACCCTTTAAATCGAAGATCTTCTTGCAGTTTTCGTCGATCGTTTACAATTATGGCCTTATAAATCACCACAGAAGGATACGATATATATATATATATATATATATATATATATATATATATATATATATATATATATATATATATATATATATATATATATACATATATATATATATGTATATATATATATATTTTTTTTTTAATTTTGTTTTGTTTTCTTCGTCGCTAATCAAATAAATTCGAACGGTCGGACGACTGAATAAAAAAACGAAATGATCCTCGAATTAGTGAGCACTTCTGTTATCACATGCTTGAGAATAAAGCCAATTTTCTTCGGTCAGGCAATCACAGTTGCGCACGAGTCTCTTGCACGCACAACGCTAGGGATAAGAACAGTGTTGACGATGCGTGCTCCCCTTCACCCCTTCTCACTCGCGTGATTGTTCCTCACGACTGTCCATGCCGATCGCAACGGCAGCGTGAGCAGCGGCGGCCGCGGTAATAACGGCGGCAGCAGCGGCGGTAGCTCGTCCTCACTGGTCCTGTCATTCGTATAGTGCACCTGTCGCGAGCGGCGCTGTCGGCAGATCTTCTGCTACGAACTGATCGCAACCGGGTGAAAAGAAGGAACACACGTAGTGTGGGTGTAGCGCTAAGGAAAAGTAAAAAAGGAGGGGAGAGACTGACACTGAGAGATAATGAGGAGGAAGGGTAAGAGATAGAGGGAGAGAGAGACAGAGAGAGAGAGAGAGAGAGAGACAGACAGACAGAGAGAGAAAGAAGAGAATTATAGAGATATAATTATATAGATAGATAGATGGGTACAGATAGAGAGAGAGAGAGAGAGAGAGAGAGAGAGAGAGATTTGTGAGGGAGGGGGGGAGGGAGGGAGGGAGGGAGCGAGAGAAACTAGAGCAGAGGATTGTCAAGGAAAAGGTGGCGCTCAAGTTTGGTTGCAAACTGAACGGTGGCGGTTGGTGTATAACGTTGCGCGAGTAATGCAGCCGCGTCGCTAGGCGGGACAGGACTGGCGCTTAACGATCCTCAATCTGTTCGACTGAGGAACTTGCTTGAGCTGCCGATTTTTCCGGCCGTCGCTCCCCACTCGATGCAGTAGAGAAGTGGGCCCAATTTAGGTCTGCCCGCTAACGTGCTGACCAATGGCTCTGTGCCGATCCTCGTGTGTTGGCCAATGGCTGGGGCCGTAAGGCGGGAACAAACTCGACCCCCGAAGCTCCGCCTACCCACGATGTGCTCTCACTAATCCGCGCGG